CCAGGCTCTCTACTGCAGTGCTTCGCGCGAAGTTATGACGTATCCCCCTCCCAAAGTCAAACAATATCATTGGTCGAGATTGCCTCTGGCGTATGATTCGTCCAATGATTGCAACATTCAATTATTTGAATCTGCGCGCACTTTCTTGATATCTAAAGCACAGAGACTAGAAAAACAATTAGGATGTTTGTTTACACGTTGTGTAATGTTTCAACCATTTTAATGTCTTCAATTCCTTCACCCCCAGTTTACCAAAGCTCAAGTTTATGCTACAAGAGCCTTGGTTGAACTCGAGCCCCAGAATAAATTCCTTGTCTTTCACACATTGCTCACCTATTGTAAATTAAAAATATATAGCACCCCATTGTAAAGCTTTATTCATAGTGTGGCGGTTTGTTCCCATCAACCGAGAAAATTGTGGAGTGGCCTAATGATTTCACTGCAGTGAGGGCCTTGAATTTTGTTGAATATAGATTGACTTTGTGTCTTAATGCTTCAACGTTTTTAAAGTGGATTTACAGCCTTTACTTTTAAATTGAATCACATATTTTCTTCTCAAATAAGCATATGAGATACGTGTCAATATAGTATATGGTCAGAAAATCACTGTCAGGGCAGCATTTCAAACTGACAAAAAGGACAATGTCACCCTTAAAAGCCAAGCCAAAAGAGGACATATCAGCACACAAGATTCAAGAGTCCTTTCACACCAACAGGCAGACAGGCATTAGGAGGTTAGTGTCCAGCATTCTTGAACCTGGTTGTCTTGCGGAAAAACTGTCCCAAAGCATGATGATCCGAGACTTGAGGCTGCAGCACCAGACAGCAGCAGCAGCTACAGTGCACGGGGTGGGGTCTGAAAATGTTGCCACTCAATTTTTTCTCTGCCACTTATGAAATTGTTACAGAACACTTCAGAATTGTAAACACTGAGTCAGTGGTACCTGACAGTAGAAACACTGGATATAGGATGCATAAACAATCACTGACTATTCTTGATTTAATTTTATATTAAACTTAAGCTCAATTATTTCATGTACAATAACTGTATATTTAGTTACACTGTGCAACAATATCTCCTACTGTATTCATCCATCTTTCAAGGCAATATTTTTAGATCTGTTTCTGTAGTATAACACACAGTAATTATTATGGTCAATTTTTATTTACAGCATATCTGCATGAAAGGTATAGCCTACATAGCTGTTTTTTTATTTTTATTTTATGTATATATTTTTTATCTATCACTCTTGTATCTGCACTTGTTGAATCTTAAGCTGATGTGGCCAGCAAAGTTTATCTTTGCTTCTGAAAAATATCTGCATTGGTGGCAGGGGACTTGGAAGTTTTACATTTACCCTGTATTTGATAGGTGTGAGGTGCTAACCTAACCCTAACCCTATACATTAATGGTAAAGTAATGTAGATATATTGGATAGTTGCTTTTATTTACTATAAAACAATGTTTATATAAAGTGAACTCCTTAAATTAAAGGTATGTAGATATATTGGATAGTTGCGTTTAATTACTATAAAAGTAAGTTTATTCAAAGTAAACCTATACATTAATGTGAAAAGTACGTGTTTTACATCTAAAAATCTGTACTTTGACGGGGAGTTCTTGTGGATGTAATTGATAATGTTATGAATTTACCAAAGAATACTGTGTAAAAACAGAAGACTTCTTTAATTGTATAATTGTAAGGTATTCCTGCAATAATTTCCAGTTTATATGCAGATTTATTCATTTGTTTAATGTTCTACAGACATTTTTTAATGAGATTTTCTTTTCATTCTACAGCAGTGGAACTGTAAAAATACAGAAAATGTTTACAGTAAATATCTGTATTTTAAAAAACAGAATTATTCCGTAGAATAACTTAAGGTTTTTTACTGTAATTTGACGGTAAGTGTTTGGCAACTTTGCTGCCAGACTTTTTACCGTTTTTTTACGATTGTTTTTTTTACATGTATTTACCTTAAATTTAAGGTTTCACAGTAAAAAAACACATAGTTGTCTTAATTTTAAATAAGCGATTTTTTTTGTCTTTTTACATAGAATTTAATGTAATTTAACATTCAAGCCAATTAAACAAAAGAATAATCCTGTAAAAAAACTATGATTTCTCCTTATATGAATTTACAGATTATTACTTTTATTTTATGGTTAATGTTTTTAATAAAAGTTTTTTTCTGTATTTTAATGACATTTACACGTAATGTTAAAAAACAGAAAATATCTGTAAAATAATACAGTATATTTCTGTGAAAAAACTTTTTTTTTTTACAGTGTGGGTCAGTTCAGCACAGGTGCAGCAAGGGAGTCACACTGATAAGGTGTAGAGGGAGAGACTGTGTGTGTGTGTGTGTGTGTGTGTGTGTGTGTGTGTGTGTGTGTGTGTGTGTGTGTGTGTGTGTGTGTGTGTGTGTGTGTGTGTGTGTGTGTGTGTGTGTGTGTGTGTGTGTGTGTGTGTGTGTGTGTGTGTGTGTGTGCGTGCGTGTGTGTGTGTGTGTGTGTGTGTTGTGGCTTTCGTGACTGCTCTGGATTCACTCCATCTGCTCCTGATCTGCAGCAGTAAACAGACTCACTCCTGCAGCATTTGTTCTCCAGAAGTGAATGATTCCTCAAATCATATGTGTTGTTGAGCAGAGGTGTGCGGCTACTTTTAAATGATCAGATGCTCTGATTTCACCTGCTGGACCAAAGAAATCCCACAGACACACATCCAAGGAGAAACCAGAGCCACATCTACAGACCAAACAGGAAGAAAACACCTAGCAACCGCCTAGCAACCCTGAACTCATTAACAACTGCTTAGCAACACCCTAAAACACTCGAAACACCCTAACTGCATAGCAAAAGGCTAAAACACTCGAAACACCCTAACTGCATAGCAACATCCTAAAACACTTGAAACACCCTAACTGCATAGCAACAGGCTAAAACACTCGAAACACCCTAACTGCATAGCAACATCCTAAAACACTCGAAACACCCTAACTGCATAGCAACAGCTTAAAACACTTGAAACACCCTAACTGCATAGCAACACCCTAAAACACTCGAAACACCCTAACTGCATAGCAACACCCTAAAACACTCAAAACACCCTAACTGCATAGAAACAGGCTAAAACACTCGAAACACCCTAACTGCATAGCAACAGCTTAAAACACTTGAAACACCCTAACTGCATAGCAACACCCTAAAACACTCGAAACACCCTAACTGCATAGCAACACCCTAAAACACTTGAAACACCCTAACTGCATAGCAACACCGCAAAACACTCGAAACACCCTAACTGCATAGCAACACCGCAAAACACTCGAAACACCCTAACTGCATAGCAACACCCTAAAACACTCAAAACACCCTAATAGCAGCACCCTAAAACACTCGAAACACCCTAACTGCATAGCAACACCGCAAAACACTCGAAACACCCTAAAACACTCGAAACACCCTAACTGCATAGCAACAGGCTAAAACACTCGAAACACCCTAACTGCATAGCAACATCCTAAAACACTTGAAACACCCTAACTACATAGAAACAGCCTAAAACACTCGAAACACCCTAACTGCATAGCAACAGCTTAAAACACTCGAAACACCCTAACTGCATAGCAACACCCTAAAACACTCGAAACACCCTAACTGCATAGCAACACCGCAAAACACTCGAAACACCCTAAAACACTCGAAACACCCTAACTGCATAGCAACACCGCATAACACTCGAAACACCCTAACTGCTTAGCAACACTGCAAAACACTCGAAACACCCTAACTGCATAGAAACAGCCTAAAACACTTGAAACACCCTAACTGCATAGCAACAGCTTAAAACACTCGAAACACCCTAACTGCATAGCAACAGCCTAAAACACTCGAAACACCCTAACTGCATAGCAACAGCCTAAAACACTCGAAACACCCTAACTGCATAGCAACAGCCTAAAACACTCGAAACACCCTAACTGCATAGCAACAGCCTAAAACACTCGAAACACCCTAACTGCATAGCAACTGCTTAAAACACTTGAAACAGCCTGACTGCGTAGAAACAGCCTTAAAAACTCTAAACACCCTAACTGCATAGCAACAGCCTATAAAACACTTAAAGTGCATAGGAATGTGTGCGTTAACAATGGACAGGTGCTTCACTACAGCAGAAAAATACAGCCAGAACAAAATCTCCATGTTATTGAACCCCCCCCCAGAGTCATAGTCTGATCTCTTTCACAGACGTGTGTGTGTGTGTGTGTGTGTGTTGCTTCATGGGAAAGTCCTCCATCTGTGCTGAAGTCTCTTGGTCTCCATAAAACTCCTCAAACTTCGCCCTTGAGCTCTGGAGATATCACAAGCTCTCTGTTGAGTTTCATTTAGTTTTGTCTCAGATTTTTCTCCCACAAGTCCTTAGGAAAAAAAAATTCTCATCAGAAACCACTTAAAGTTATCGTTTGCTCTGCATTTAGCCACAGAGCTGTCTCGGAGAAACATTTGAGACGTTATACAGATCTAATCTGTGATGTTCTTGTTGTCATTTGAGGTAGATTTAGGGAGATCTTCTGTTTCTGCATATCTGAGGGTCGTTCTGTCCTCGTACGCCCACTGTGTGTTTATCCCAGCACAATATTCCCATCCGGCATGTTCCCAGTGTTCCTGCTAGTCATTACAGAACAGTTTTTCAGACGGGAATGCTCTGCTGTTTGTGCGCTGATGTCATCACTGATCCGCCGCAGCTGCTCCTCTCATATTCGCACTAAATTATTGTGTTGCAACACTTTGGGAACATGGCAAATTGTTCCTGGGAAAGTGTTTCTTTTCTGATATTATAAAGAGCAGTTTTGCTGTCTTTTCTCTAATGCTTCTACATGCATGTCATGGTGATCTTGATTGCATAAAAATCTAAAGTGAAATGCATGTTGAGAGTGTGTGTTGTGTCTTTTTTTTTTATTCGTCCTGATCAGTGTGTGTTGTGTGTGTGTTCCAGGTATACGCCCCGTCTGCCAGCACTGCCGATTATAACCGAGACTCACCGGGTTACCCGTCCTCTAAAGCACCGGGCAGCAGCTTTCCCAGCTCCTTCTTTATGCCAGGTAAACACAGAACAACTGCCTAACACACTCAGAATATCCTAGCAACTGCATAGCAACAGCCTAAAACACTTGCATCACCCTAAAAACCACATAGCAACAGTCTTAAAACACCCAGTACACCCTAGCAACTGTATAACAACAGCCTAAAACACTTGCATCACCCTAGAAACAGCATAGCAACAGCCTAAAACACTCAGAACACCCTAGCGATTGCATAGCAACTGCCTAAAACACTTGCATCACCCTAGAAACAGCATGGCAAAAGCCTAAAACACTCAGAACACCCTAGTGATTGCATAGCACTGACTAAAACTCTTGTATCACCCTAGAAACAGCATAGCAACAGCCTAAAACACTCAGAACACCCTAGTGATTACATAACAACTGACTAAAACTCTTGTATCACCCTAGAAACAGCATAGCAACAGCCTAAAACACTCAGAACACCCTAGTGATTGCATAACAACTGACTAAAACTCTTGTATCACCCTAGAAACAGCATAGCAACAGCCTAAAACACCCAGAACACCCTAGTGATTGCATAGCAACTGCCTAAAACACTCAGAACACCCTAGCGATTGCATAGCAACTGCCTGAAACACTCAGAACACCCTAGTGATTGCTTAACAACTGCTTAAAACACTTGCATCACCCTAGAAACAGCATAACAACAGCCTAAAACACCCAGAACACCCTAGTGATTGCATAGCAACTTCGAACACCCTAGTGATTGCATAGCAACTTCGAACACCCTAGTGATTGCATAGCAACTGCCTAAAACACTCAGAACACCCTAGTGATTGCTTAACAACTGCCTAAAACACTTGCATCACCCTAGAAACAGCATAACAACAGCCTAAAACACCTAGAACACCCTAGCGATTGCATAGCAACTGCCTAAAACACATGCATCACCTTAAAAACTGCATAGCAACAGCCTAAAACTCTCAAAACTCTTGCGATTGTATAGCAACTGCCTAAAACACTTGTATCACCCTAGAAACTGAATAGCAACCGCTTAAAACACTCAGAACACCTTAGTGATTGCATAGCAACTGCCTAAAACACTCGCATCACCCTAGAAACAGCATAACAACTGCCTAAAACACATGCATTACCCTAGAAACCACACAGCAACAGCCTAAAACACTCAGAACACTTGTTGACTATGGAAGGGTGCTTCACTACAGCAGAAACAAACCAGCCAGAACAAAATCTCCATGTTATTGGACCTCTCAGGTCCAGAAGTCAAAGCCTGATTCAACTCCGATCTACTCTTGTGTGTGCGTGTGTGTGTGTGTGTGTTTCATGAATGATTTCAGATGGTCATCACAGTACAGACCCATGGAGCTCCTCCGGCAGTATGAACCAGCCCGGATACAACAGCATGCTGGGAAACTCCACACACAGCGCTCAGAGCAGCAGCTACTGCGGCCTTCACCCACACGAGAGACTCGTGAGCGCATTTACTCGCATATCTTCACCTGGTTAAAGGTGCACTGTGTCATTTTTAGCGGCATCTAGTGGTGAGGTTGTGAATTGCACCCAACAGAAGTTACGGTGGCCGACAGGAAGTGATGTCGTCGTCTGAGACAGCAGAGAGTAGCCAGTTAAGCTATGAGGTTTCTTTAGGTTTACTTAATTATTCAGTAAAACGATATGATATTGCGAATATTATTGTTACGTGTTCATCATTTTGTCTGTTTATTCGCTGACTTTAGCAGCTTCTTTGTACGAAGAACAACATATAGTGTGTGTGTGTAGATAGAAATGGCTCATTCTAATGTAATAAAAGCATAACGGTTCATTATGTAAGGTCTTTATACACCACTGAAAACATAGTTATGTATATGATATTGCATCTCTGTCAACAGATCCTCCTAAATATTACACACTGCACCTTTAAGATTAGTTCAGCAGATTTATGAGCTTTTAAACAGTGTCCAAACTGCAAAATATGCTTTTCTTACTTTGTTTTTTTGTCTCGTTTCCAGTCCAAATATCAAAAAACTCTTAAATCAAGATGCATTTACTTAGGTAGTAAAATGCCATAAGATATTATGTCTTGTTTTCTGAGTTTTTGCTTAAAACAAGCTAAATTATTCTGCCAATGGGGTAAGAAAAATAATCTTGTTTCTGTTTGAATGAGGATTATTTTTCTTACCGCAGATAATTTAGCTTGTTTTAAGCAAAAACTCACTTAATTTTGATTAATTCCCCCGGAAAAAAAGAAATAAAATCTTATGGTATTTTACTCATCTTGAGTTAAGAGTTTTTAGATATTTGGACTGGAAACAAGACAAAAATACTAAGTAAGAAAAGCATGTTTGCAGTGAGCGAGTGCTCCCAGGATGGAGTGTAAAATAAAGGTGGTCAAAGGTTCAACAATGATAAACGGTTCAAGTGTTCATTTATGACTCGGTCTCATCTGTTCGATAACTCTGTTTCCCTCTGTGTTTTGCAGAGTTACCCGTCACACTCGTCGGCTGAGATTAACCCCAGTCTTCCTCCCATGTCCAGCTTCCATCGGAGCGGCGGGTCGAATCACTACAGCACGGCGTCTTGCTCCGCAACCACTAACGGGACAGAAAGCGTCATGGGTGAGTTCTGTATTTATACAACAAATTCTGTATTATGAATTTTTAAGGCCAGACTGGGAGTTTGTTGAGGTCAACTTGTAAAGAAAGACTACACGCCTGCCATGGGCGTCGGAAGCAAAAAAAAAGTGTGTGTCCTCCCTCAGAAAAATGGTATTGGAGTAAATGCCATGTCATGTATTCTAGTGCCTTTTAATTAAACACGTAAACTAAACTCCGCTTCATGTCGTGCATTAAATGCACAGCTATACGTGGATTATCCCGCTGCTGATACCATGCTCATTTACCAGCATTGAAAACTACGACAACTACGTTGAATGCTGAATAAAGTCGGAGTTTTTGTTATTTTTGGACCAAAATGTATTTTCGATGCTTCAAAACATTCAAACTAATTCTAAATTCTCAACGTCATCGTTCTCAGCCACTCTCTCTGTTCGCTGATTGGACCGGTAAAAAATTGATCAGAGAAAACCCAAGAATATACAGCAAACCCAGACGTAGTACTGAAGGAAAATGAAAATTTAGCAGAAGTACGTAGGAGGGCGGAGCCAGGCTAATGCAAATGTTGAGGTGTTGCGGATTGAATAATATTAGGATAATAGTTTTGAGAGAAGGAGCCAAGGGAGTTACAGGAGATCAGGTTTAGCTGCTCAGGAACATTAGTTATTAATCAACCGATTTGGTCATTTTGAGATGATCAGGAACTGTTTCTGATCAGCGGATCAACATCATTGATCATTCCTCCAATTTCAAAATCAGCCTTGATATTGACAAACGTTTTCTGTTTTCAAAATGTTTTTGTGAATACGGAGTAAATGTTAATTGTCTAAAGCAGTGGTTCTCAACTTTTTATTTATTTATTAATATTTCATTATGAATATTCTTATTAATTTTTTTAATTAATTTTATTTGACTCAAATGCCCTCCATGTTGGCGAAGATAATTATGATACTTCTGCTATAATGACAAAGATGCTTGTTTTCAAACTTTTTATTTATTTATGGAAACTAGGGGTGTATAAATTGAATTAAAAATAAATGTTTAAATAATTATGTTAAAATAAATCACTAAAATCATTTAGATTCTATTATTTAAATTTTTATTTAAAAAAAACTAATAAAAATAAAAAAAAAGGATTAAATAATTATATTAACATTTAAATATCAAAATCAAAACACTCATATTCTATACATTTTAAAAGTTTCAAGAACTGAATGTTCTTCAGGGTTCAGTTATGAATTTATTATATTTAAAAAATATATTTTTAACTCACAAATTCTCAGCAATTTCTTCTCAATAAAATATTCCAGAGCTTGACGTAACTAGAACCATGTGTATTCATTATAGAAATTTCAAACATTTTTGTTTAATTGTATTAATTTCCGTGTCTTTTTTTAAGATCTTGTTTTTAAAGCTTGTTTTGTCTTATATTATTATTATTATATGATCTTATATTTGGCTCCTGGTTGAGAATCACTGCTCTGAAGTGATCATTTAAAGTCAGCACTTTTCATGTTATTTAAATGGATAGGAGTTTTAAAGCTCTATAATCTGTGTGTTTCAGCGAATCGATCGTCGAGCGGAGCAGGGACGAGTTCGCAGACGGGAGACGCGTTAGGAAAGGCCCTGGCTTCAGTGAGTCAACAGGTCTCATAGTCCCGGACAAATACAACAACACACAAGACAACATGAAACAACATTCACAACTTGTTTTATGCTTCGACCAATAGCAAACCACAACCATTCAGCCATCCAGTCAATTCCCCATGGACTAAATCAAGCCCCGCCCACATTTGTTCTTGTTCGGATAACGTCACGATAGTGGAGAAAAGACTATCACAACTTCTGTTTCAGACAAGCGCTCCTGTGGGGAGTTTGCGCATGATGTTGTGTGTTTGTGGCGTTCTCGTTTGTCATTGCTGTGTGTTTGTTGTCGTTGTAGATCTATTCCCCCGACCACACCAATAACAGCTTCTCATCCAACCCGTCCACTCCTGTGGGATCACCTCCGTCGCTTACAGGTAACAGTGTGTGTGTGTGTGTGTGTGTGTGTTTATTCTCAACAGATTTTTAAACACACACACTGTTTGCTCTGATGTCAGTCACCTGAATACACTCTACTTCTGCTTTACTGCTCACTGTTTACTCACTCTAAAAAATGCTGGGTTGTTTTAACCCAACTTTGGGTCAAATATGGACAAACCCAGCCATTGGGTTAAATTTTTTAATTACATTTTTAACCCAACGTTTGGGTTTGTCCATATTTGACCCAAAGTTGGGTTAAAACAACCCAGCATACATTATAATGAGTACGATTATATAAAAAGAGTATCTGAAACACTGTGCATTATGATGATCAACATTTTCAACATTTAGTAGGTTTGCCTCTGAGGTTTTTATGGTTAACTAAAGCGCAATTCAAAGCTTTTCGTATGTTGCATTTTTCATATTCTGTAGGATGTTCCCACCTACACTGTAAAAAACACTGAGTTAAAAACAACCCAATTTGGGTTGTTTTCAACCCAAGGGCTGGATAAATATAAATATATAAATAACACATGTTTTTTACCATTTTACCCAGCAAATTGGGTTGTTTATTTAACCCAGCATACTGGGATAATTCATTTATAAAACTAGATTATTTTTTATTTTCTTACTTCATACATGAATAAATGTTTACGGATTAACTTAAATTCTTTAAAATACTCCACACAACCACTGGTTTGCATGAGAATTCCTTTATTTTCGATCATATTTTACAGTATAGCATATTTCATATAGTTATGAATACATATTGCATACATTTAACTCAACCCCTGGGTTGTTATATCTGAC